ACATCTACCACTCATTCATACTCGAAGCAATTTCCAAGCTTGGTCTGGGGAAAGCCTTCTATGACTACGTATGGTCCTTTCTTACAGATCGGAAAGCCGTGATGAAGATTGCAGATATCGAGACCGCAGCAATCGAAATAGAAGCAAGGGGCACGCCGCAAGGGGCAGTGATTTCACCAATGCTGTTCAGCATTGCCATGATTGGACTGTCAAAGAAATTATCGAGCATTGAAGGATTGAAGCACAGCATCTACGCAGATAACATTAGCATCTGGTGCACAGGTGGAAGCGAGGGGCAGATTGAGAGCGCCCTGCAAGAGGCGATTGACACCGTAGAAGAGTACCTTCGTCCTTCTGGGCTCAAGTGCTCCTCGAGTAAGTCAGAACTTTCACTGTATCGGACTGCACGCCGGGGACCGAAGCCCAGGGGATGGAAGCGGTTAAACCAGATAGACATCCACCTTCGTACAAATCAAGGGGATTCCATCCAGAGGGTCGACTCCATCAAAGTCCTGGGCATGCTGATAGAGTCTGCCGGCGCCAACAGCAAATCTATAGCCAAGTTAACTTGGAAAACAGAGAGTGCGGTGCACCTCATACGCAGAGTGGCCAACAACAGAAATGGGATCAAGGAAGACAACCTCATCAGGTTGATGCATGTGTTTGTTCTAAGCCACTTCACGTACGAGGCAGCAATGCACAACTGGTCAAGAGCAGAGTCCGAGACACAGAATGTGCTCCTCAGGAAAGTTATCAAGAAGGTCCAGGGCCTACCCATACATACCAGCACCGAGCGTCTGCTTGAGCTTGGCATTCACAACACGCTTGAAGAAATAGCAGAAACCCAAGAGAGAGAGCGCAGTTTGCAAGGTTATCTACAAGAAGGTCGGGGACAATGATCCTGCAGGAGCTGCAGGACCCAATGGCAATCAGGCACAATTACAATGATATCCCCGACAACATCAGGAAGAATATCACGGTGTCTCCTATACCAAGAAACATGCATCCAGAACACAACGTCGGAAGAAGGGTAGCGAGGGCCAGGACTATACTTCGTCAAGTCTCAAACAAAGAACGAGGAGTCGTATTTGTTGACGCGGCTTCCTACGCGAATGGGAAAGCGTTTGTGGCAGTGGTGGTCGATGGGGCTGGCCATGTCGTCAACTCAGCGACGGTCAGGACGAAAGACCCAATCATTGCGGAACAGGTGGCCATCGCCTTAGCACTTAAGATAGATAACATTGAAGTCGTCTACAGTGATTCCATGGCAGCACTACGGGCGTTCGCCAAGGGGACGGTCTCAGAGCAAACGCTGAGAATACTGCAAGGCAAGAACATAAGGCATTATCTTCTGACTTGGTTCCCAGCTCACCTTGGGCAAATCAACGATTCCCCTCCCAATCTCAATGAAGCAGCACACGAGGCGGCGCGACAACTCTCCAACCGCGCCTCCCCAGGGATGCGTTCTACCAGTGAAGGGGAAAACCGGGAAATTCTTACAACATATAACGAGCTCACTAAACATTTCTACCTGTCTAGAAGGATTTTCCCTCCACCTCACAAAAATATAACCCGGGCCCAAGCACTTACTTTAAGGCTTTTTGCAAACGCGAATGTACCCTACTTTGAAAATGTTACACATATCATGTACCCTGACCTATACCCAAATAATTTTTGTCCACATTGTGGGGAAATAGCTTTATTAGAACACATGCTCTGGCAGTGCACCAAATTCGCTCGTATATCGAACATCACCTCTGCCAGATGAGAGGCGGCAACCCGTAGCTCATCCTTGACAGATCAGCTCTGGGCTGTCCACCAAGCCCGCGAAGCGGCTGAGGAGCTTGGCATCTCAGTCCCCACGTGGGAGCTGCCCGCAACACAGTGATCTGTGTTTTGAAGGACCAAATAGAAGTTTATCCAATCCAATCGCTCAGCGTAGCACCTCGGGATGTGTGCATGGGTTGTGTCTACAGTGCCATGCTGCCGCCGCCAAAGACGAAGCAGAAGTGAAGCGCTGAAAGCGTTCACGCAGTTCACGCTGCCAAGCTCGCATCAGAGGAGAAGGCGTTTCGGCGCGCAAAGCAATGCGTAACTTCATCGCAGTATCAGCAAGCTCTTCAGAAACGCGTCGACGAAGTGAACGCCCCTCTAATGCGCAGTGCAGGCGCCACTGTGTTTTAAGCGCGCCCAAATCTTCAGGACCAGACGCCGTGAGCGACACACGTATTGCGCGTGACAAATCTGATCTTGAGCTTGCGTCCTGCAGGACGCGAACATCAAGACGCCATGGGTTTTTCGAAAAATCAAATGGAACTTCGAGCTTGAAGACAGTATGCCAGTGATCAGATACGTACACAAGAGAAGGTTGGAAGGACGGAACGCTTAAATCAGAGACAAACGCCTCTAACGCTCGTGGGATATAAGCCCGGTCGAGCCTGCTGAAGGATCGTCCGCGTCGCCATGTCCAAACAAAGGTATTTCCGTGCACTACATTGTGCGCGTACAGTAATGAAAAGTGGTTGACAAGGCGTCGCAGCTCGCATGAATTCCAAGCAGACCGGCTCCAGCCAGGACCTTGTACATCGGTTCACTACGCAGTTGAAGTCGCCTATCAAAATGTCATTACGACCGTTAAGAAAAAACACATCCAGGTCTCAAAACAGTCATTAGACTGTCCAGCACGTGATGGCCCATACACGCACAGTATCCTTAATCTGAAAGAAAGGTAGCTGCAGTCTAAAGCCAAAACCCTGCCCACACTATCGTAAAAAGCATGATGATGATACCGTAACAAAACCCGATTAAAAATAATAATAGCTTTCCCATAAAACGAGATGTTGCGAAAGGTAAGCAACAATGTAGGATGAAATTTCATTTAAAACCAAGCACGTTTTATAGCGAAACAAATTTGTTTCGTGCCGGCACAAAACATCAAAATTTGCAGCATGGCCGACACTAATCACTTCAGCCTGCTTTGTCGGACTGCGAAAACCCTGAACGTTCAATAATATAATATGCAGTGTAGTAGCCATAATCAAAAGTAAAGACTAACCTGGACGCATAGTTCTTGACGGTGTCCTGGAAAGTGTCCAGGGGACACTTCCTCAACCAAATCACAACGCACTGTTTGACGCTCCGGAAGCGGGTCCAGGTTTTTTGGACCGTTAGTATTTACCATGGCCCTCACTGCGTTCATCGGAGCAAGAGCTGGAAGTGTTCCCTCGCTTGGTTTCACGTGGAGCTCCCATGTCAACGTCAAAATCGGCAAGGCTAGACAGTCCGATGCTACTATCCAGTCCCAGGCTGAAGCTGTCTTCCAAAGACGTGTCCTGTGGAGGTAAGGTTTGAGCCGCCGGCAAGCTTGGATCCACATCCTTGATGCTGGCAGCAGTGTCCACGTCTCGGCAGGCCGGTGTAGGCACCCTTTGTGAGGTCAATTTTTTACGTGTACGACGCGATGTCGAAGTGGTCGGAGCGGCAGCAACAGAAAAGACTGTGGTATTTCCGGCACTGTTTTCCGAAATAACAGAGGTCATAGTATCAACTCCAACAACAGCAGCCTGAGAACTGGGGTCATTTGTGCACTGAACATCAAGTAGCGTCAGAGAAGAGACGCCGACGGCGTTTGCAGGGAAGTGCATTGCGTCATTTGAAGCGCACGCTTTCTGCACCAGCGGGAAGGCCGACCCGCCGAGCGTCGCATCGACAATCGCGCTTTCGTTGTGCGCTTCGTTCAAACAAACTTGTAGGGGTGAAGCCAGCGCAGCGTCGATGACCTCCTCCACGTCCTTCGAGTCGGTAGTTGGTTCCGTTGCCGGTATCAGTGGAGAAAAGGCAGCAGCGGCAGCGTCTGAGTAAGAGCGGTGGACAGGGCAAACCACAGTTGGGTGGCCGTCCCCGCAGCATCGAGACGGGCGGTGACACCTTTCACTAACGTGACCGTGCACACCGCAGCGACCACAATACGGTGTTGTGGACTGGGCTCGTAGGCAGTCCCCTGAGCCACATCTTCGACATACACGCTGGACACCATAGTAGTCGAACGTGGCACGGTGACCGGAGATGCGCAGGTACTTCGGCACAGGATTAGCGGTGTTCCTCTCCATTCGAACATACCGCGTCCCAGTGAGTACGCCACGTCGCCCACTCATCAAACCACTGGTGACAGTGAGCACCTTGTCATATGGGGATAACGCTTAGACGAGAGCTTCGTTTGAGACGAACTATGCCAGGTGACATGACTTGATGCGCTCGTTTGCCTCCGCTGCATGCTCGAAGCACTCTAACGCAGCGCCTCCAGAATACCATTCAGCGATTTTCTTGCGCAGATTATCAAATAGACGTTTTGTTCACTATCTCTAGATGCAAGACTATCGTCTTTAGACGACATTTGTGGTGTAACATGCAGATAGGGTGCCAAATTTTTCTTTCAAGCAGACGAACGCTGTCTTCTTTTCTCCTAAATTCAATCGTACTCGATTGCTGTTTCCTTTTCTACTAAATTTATTCGTACTTGAACGCTGTCTCTCTTCAATGACAATCGTACCATTGTGTGCGAAAGTATACTCACGACGTTGGTGAGAAAACTGAATTCTCAGGCAGCCTATAAATATAGTATATATTGTTTATTCTTACAGTTTGTAATATAATTTGATGCCTGCACTCAATAATTAAAGCAAAAGAGGCATACATTAGCTGAGCAGAAAGATCGCATTTGCTTTGAAGTTCATGTCCAGAAGACGTTAGGGTTCCCATTCACGAAAACCTCTGGCGCTTTCCTGAGAGAACATTTCAGCCAATCACGATGCAAGGCATCTCAGCAGCGAAACCAACCCACCATTGGGGAGACGCGCTTACGAGAGAGAAGTTAGAACTGTGAATTCGTCCCCTGTCCCAGGGAGCGCATATTGCATTTCGTGAAGAACACGTTTTGCTTCGAAAGGTGGCATGCTGCAACTTTTTAGTTCACCAAGGCTACGAAGTGGCGGGAAACTTACCTTCTTGACCAACATTCCAACGATGCCTGGCCAGCTGTTGTTTACGGACTCACCGCCGAAATTGCCGTATCTAGGCTTGACGAAGGTAACGCTGTTTGAGAAAAGAGTATTAGTGGTGGGTCGAGGAGAAGAGTGGAGGCAGTATACTTAACACTGGAACGATTACAATTACGAAATAGCAAGGGCTTGGTTTCCACAACTCACTTCAGTCGGAGAGAGTCTATCGTCGCATGAGCGATCTTTCCGATGAAGCCCAGAAGCCTGATGTGGCCATCTTCCTCCTTGGCGTCGATGTAGGGAAGGTACTAGAAGACGATACTTATTGTAAATTCATCGTTATGTCAAGCAGCTAATAAAGAATAAACTAAGATAGCCAACTGCAGCGAACTGAATAGGAACATGAAGTCTGCATAAGGTTCCTGAGCTACGAGCGCCGCTAAAAAGGCTCAACTGACGCTAATGTGCGTGCTAATTTAGAGTCATAGCTGCTACATATTACGGCAAAAGCTGTTATGAGATCACAACACGGATCGCGTGCACGCCGTGGTTGTCCGCCGCCGGTGTCCGTACCACTGTCGCACGAAACACATAAAAAACTTAAAGGACACATTGGGATTCGAACTTGGGTCCCCTGCGTGCCAGCCGAGTAGTCTACCACTGAGCCACGCCGGTGCTTGGAACTCTCTTGCAAGCTGGCTCGATGTCAGGAAAGGAATCGCGGTTATATGAGTAATAAAGCGTTTTAGAACAGCAAATCAACAACGAGGTGTCACATAATGCAAATTATGCAGCGAGTAGGACATATATCGCTCCATCTCTTTAAAAAAAAGCTTCTTCACCTAATAACTGTGGCGCACACCCACTTTGGGGGATTGTGGGGATTACAAAAGCTTCTGCCACAATTCTTCATTGTCGTCAGCCACAGCTAAAAAAAAGTGCACAACGTTTCTTGCGAGTGTGCATCGGATATACCAAGCTTCTCCGAAGAATGACAAAGGATGGCATAGGGAATGTTCGCCTACTACAGAATGATTAATGGCGTAGTGGGTACCCTCAAATGTACTTGCAGTAGCTACCCAAAGAGTGTTAAAAGAAGGCTCGGAAAGGCTCCTCTTCCAGCTTTCACTGTGGCAGTGCTGAGCACTCCGAACAGGCCGGGGGGCTTTTACAAAAGAGACAAAGTTACTTATATGTTCTTGAATCCCGGAGGCACCTTATCAGATCGCAAAAAATTTGTTCCCTGGAAAGTTTAAATTTTTGCATCACATTTTGGATTGCCCATCAAAACTTGGAACAAAATTACAGAAGACTCGAAAAGACTAAGCTATCTTATTATAGAAAGCTATCGTTTTTAGTGCTCTTGCCTTTCCGGGCGGGATTTTAGATTTTTACTCATTTCTGTTTTCCCGTCTGTAATTGTCACCTGCTAATACATTCATATTTGCGATGTCAGGCCAGCTTTTTAAGTTATTTAGTATTTAAGATTGAACTACCACAGCCTACCGACAAGTACGCAAACTTCCAGTGCCTCTTGCGGAGATCCTCCATTTTGAGTCCAGCGTGGTTGGCGTTTGGAGTCGGTCTACGCTACGGTGGACTCGCTCATACACTGCGAGAAACCGGGTTTATGGCGCAGTGTGTGCTATATTGATTTAATTAACGAAATGAGCGCTATTCACTGTTCGAAGCTTTCTAATGACTCATAGGACTACCCCAGATAATCTGATGCTCTTATGCTAACATTGCAGGTGCCTACTGGAAGAAGCGATACATTAGGCATCGAGAAATGGGGTCATATTTTGTCCTTGAACGCAAGATGAAAGTTTATTGTGTCGAACATGTCCTCAAAGAGGACCTCATATGTACAGTGTCAATACATGAAATAGCCCGAAGCGACAGAGCAAAAATCAGTCTATTTACAGATTAATCAAATTCATTAGTCCAACCCGCTTTCAGAACTTAATTGGATGGAAGCCTGCACGCATTTCGATTGTTTGCCTTATGTGGTATTTTTCATCGCACACTGATCAAACGGTATTCTCTGTATCGTTATCAGCGAAACCACAGCTTTCAGATGAATCGCAGAACTGCAGACCGTTTATATTTAGTGAAAAAAACACAATAGAAAGCAATGGCCTCGAGTTAATTCGACGTTTCGTCTGTCGCTGCATTGAGATGCCGGAACCGGTCGCAGTATGTAGTTGATGCAAGCACACAGGCTGTGTATTAATAATGACTTACGGCCAGCTATAGATGCGCAGTAGGCCATCGCAATTCGGGGCTCCGAAACCGGATAACCCTCCTTTCTTCAACATCTGTGAGAACCGACGATTGTAAAACCTGTTATATAGTAAACAACAACAAAAAGGAGTCCTTCCCCTATCGGGAAAATGCGGGCAAATGAATATTTATCAGCCTGACCTACTACTTTTCTTTTTTTCTTTTTTTCTTGCGTATTCTACAATGTTTCCTTCAAACATTTTGCTTCCTACGGGCTGGGAATGGGATTCTTCCCGCATGCTTAGCAGAGCAACACTTCTGTTGCAATGGCAACATAGGCTTTTATTCATATGTGAAACAATGAAATGATTTCAATGCAGCAATGCAAGGCAGCGAATAAATGTGGCAACGTGAAATGATTAATCCACCTCGACGACAAATCAGATTGTCATATCTGAAACGTCTCACCACCGACAAGTCCACGATCGAGAGAGCATCAGTTATTGTGAAACGATGCGCGCTAATACGCACAAAGTTATTTCGCTCACTCCCTCGTTCAATGCGCATGCGACCAACGCACGTTCGAGGTTGCATCTGCGTACACTTCCGTGCACTCTCCGGCGCCGGGTTTATCGCGAAGTATGCTGCCGCCACCACCTAAATCTATAATCGTTCTTAAAAAAAACAGCGGTTTACACACAGACGCAAGAAAGAAGATCAGGACACCTCAGAAGCACTGCAAAGATGCAAAACGGTGGAAAGAGAAAGAAGGCAAGAACAATGATCTGCGCATGCCCATTCAATAGGCGAACCTATCAATTAGGCATGCTTGGAGTTCTACGCGAAAGATAAATGTTGCGGCACTTGATTTATTCTTTGTATAAGTTAATCAACGGTTGACTCACGTATGCGCTACCACTATTATCGATATTGCGAGAAAATTATCCGACGCAATCACCGTGAAAGAAATAGCTGATAGAAATGGGCGTCATTGACGCTTCCACAAGCAGCTTACATGGCTTATATGTATCAAACATTGGGCCCACATGGCACCACAGCGGGACATAAGACGAACTGAAAACACCGCCAATGTTAAAAAAAGCCTTAGCTCTCCATACTGGTACTTTGAGTGATTTGAATGTCGCGCCAATTGCGCCCTGGATCAGTGGCTGCATCAGCGTGGTCACTCTAGCTATGGCCCATGAGCCACGCAAACTCTATAGGGCCATGTACTTGGCAGATAACCTCCTTGCACTGGACATGGTGCCATAGTACTCTAGTCTCTAGCCATAGAGTTTTTGGTGTCACACACTTGGCCTAACATTTAAACGTGTCAAAAAACCGAAGACCAGATTGCTCAATGTTTCTTACGCTACTTTCATCAACTGAATGCTCTTTTGGTTCTTTAGTGTGTGGCTAAAACGTATTGCTACCTATACTGTTTATTTGTGATGTGTTTTCTTGCAAATGTGTCGTTAGAGTTCATTTTGTAGCTTGTTTCGGTTTTGTTTTTCTCTTACCACCATTTTTGTCGTTGGTGCCACTGGAACCACTTGAACGTCCTGGTTGGCGCTACTTTTGTTTCAATTTTCAAGTGTGTTACCTACCCAGAACTAAGGTGTCACTTTTTTGCAAGAAAAAGTACATTAAAAGGCCATGGTTGGCCTATAGTAACAAATGTTCATAAAATGCGGTCTGGGCTCGAATGTGTTGGCATAAGTCAAGCTCGTGTGGCCATACTCCAGCTGCATCTGGAGAAAGCATTAGCGTTGCGCACGCCTTTTGTTTGCAGTATTGGAGCACATAAATGTTGGTAAGATTATCATGGACGGTGTAGCCCTGTCATAACGAAATGGTAGTACAAGACTAATCATCAACAAGACATTACCCCCCCCTTTCCATTAGAATTGAGTGCTCAGTGCGTCAAGGCTGCCCTGTTAGTCCACTGCTGTTTTGCATCTATATTGAAACATTATGTCAGTCGATATTGCAGAATGACATCATTAATGGGTTCACAGTACAATTTTCAAAGGTCAAACTACTCGCACACGCAGATGATGTTGCGATTTGTAGCACTTTCTATGAAGGTATTGAAGAATCAATCAGAGTTTCTAAATCTTTCGCCGAAGTTACAAAAAACCACATAAGCTGGGGTAAGTGCCTCGGCCTTTGGGATGGATACTGGCCTTGAACCCCAGAAGTTTTCGCAGCCATTGAATGAACAAGAACGCTAGTTCAGTATCTCGGAGTCATACAAAAGCGTTGATGAATACTGGACACAGCAAACAAAAGAAATTAAAGAAAAAGCGAATAGGTGGAATGTAACTTATCTATCCATGTTTGCTAGGGCTACTGAGCAAGTGGTTTTTTGTGTCTTTGTGTCTAAGCTATGGTATATGATGCAAGTGCTGTACTGTTCCCGGGTCAATGTGCAAAAATCACATCGGGCGTTTTCAACATTTGTGTGCGGCTCTAACTGGGAAAGGTGCAGTCGCACGAATTGGTTTAGATGGACGAAGTGTGGAGGCCTTGGACTAGGACATATGTTTATCCAACAGTTCGCAAATAGGTATTTCTTTTTCCGCGAGACAAGAGATCCTTTCCTATTAACAGTGTGTCAAACACGACTAAGTAGACTGTTGCCTGAGTTTGTTGTGAGCACTCATGTTACCACAGGGGCTGTGCAAGGATACATGAAGGAAGTTGTGGCCAGTGTGCGGTTTCTGTGTGTTAATTTTGCGACTGACTACCTGTGGTCTGTTGGAAAGAAAAAAACTGTACAAAGGTTTATGTGACACTATGCTCCCCATCCCGCTGTACAAAGCGCTATATACAGCACGCAAGGACAGAATGTACATTACCGACTTAAAAAAATGACGGCAGCTCCAAGTGCAAAAACGTTCTTTTTTAAATCACACACCGGAAAACTTCATGTAAGAACCTTTCTAGAGGAGAGTGGGTTTTATGTGCCTTGGGGATCTTACTGTCTATTCTGTAAGAAACCAGAAACTATTGACCATGCTTTCCTGCACAGTGGCGAAGTTTACTTTTGATACATATTACAAAATACAATTAAAAAAGAGTTCCCGTTGGACCCTCATGGGATCAGATATTTGGCAATAAAAAATGAGGATGGATTACCTTTTGATTTCATCGTGATGACTGCCTTGCACAGTATGCGGCCCTCTAGAATGACAGGATTTCTCTGTGACCCTCAAAGGAGACCAGTAAGAGAGCATTTTAAAGAAAGTATCACGTATTTCTCGAGGTAGCAAGAACAGACGAATATGTACCGATATGGTTATAAAGGGTAGAATCCTTAATGACCATGAAGGAATTCTAGGTCGTGACGTGTTATTGTAATTCTTGATGGACTTAGTTGTTTTTAAATTTTTTGTATTCTTTGTTGTGTATTGTAATATCTTTATCTCCGCATCCCGTGTGAAGTTCAACTGGAAATAGAGAAAAACAAACAGCGTAGCTCAGTGGTAGAATACTGGGCTGGCACACAGTGTACCCGGGTTGGAGCCTCACTTTGACATCTTCAGTGCTAGGGTTGTTTTTTTTTTCTAATTTCGCGTGATGAGGTAACGGTCACCGGTGGCGGCAGCGGCAGACAACTGCGCGTGACGCGAGTTGTGATCTCATCACAGGTTTCGTTGTAAAACTAGTGTTAGAAGGACGCACTTTGAGCACTAACTGACCAGAAAGGGTTGCCACGTTAAACTCGCTGGGCGTAGCCTTCTTAGGTTTAACAAGGTTTAACGAGGGTTGGGCCGCAGTGCCAATAATGTATAGTGTGGTGAAGACGGCGGTGCCTGGGGCGTTTACTAGATGGACGGACGGATAGACGGACGCAGGGACGGGCGCATGGCTGGACGGACGGATGGGCACTTGAATAAACGGATGGACATACGGACAGCCGGAGGGACGCTCGGGCGGTCGCACAGATGAACGCACGGACGGACAGAAGCAAGAACGAACAGACGGAAGGACGCTTCGGCCCAATCATCATTATGCACTCCGTGAATGTGCCGTGATTTTTTATTAAATGTATATTACGAGAGGTTGGTGTCTATGCGTGGCGCCCACTACTCTTGCACAAATGTAGACATCGCATATTTGGTAGCAAACACAAGGCTATTCTACCATGCAGGGCTCCCATAGCGTAGTACATAGTACATAGCACAACACGTACGCAATGAGTCCACGTTTTACAATTTTTAAATGTGTCCACACTACACAGAAATGTGCCTACACAACATAGAAATATGCCCACACCACACAAAAATGCATCCACACGACACAGTTTGTAAAAAAAACAAGTA